TTCGTATTTCCGAGACGCTCAGTTTGACTGTAAGCTCGCTGAAATCGGAGTTCGGGTGCTCCCAAAATTAATCTTTGAAGTTTCCAAGTAGCTTTTGCCTCGAGATTCGTACCCGATCAAGATATTTTTGTGATGTCGTATCAATAATAATAAAGTTTTATTGAATATTTTTCTGCTTTTGCTGGCAAGCTTCCTTATCTTCTAATGAATTGACGACATTAAAGTCCAAAGGACGTCACATGCAAAATCAGAAAGATAATTGTCTGCCACTTAATATTCTTGCTTTTTCACAAAGCTCCAAAAGCACGTCAAAATTTGTAGTCCACAAGCATCATTAATTGACATTAAACACAATTAAGTGGAGTGTTTGCTACTTGAAAAACAATAAGCAAAGAAGGGTGTGTTCCATCATGAAATCCATGAAGAAAAGACTTGTCGAAATTGGCAAACGTGCTCCCAAAATTGATCCCACCTTTTTTTTTGGGGAAATTTTGGGGTTTAGCCCGTAAATTAAAGAAAATCAAAAATCAATTACAAGTGACCAAATAAAAGCAGCCAAAAAAACTCCAAAAACAGGGGAGAATGAACAAAAATCAAAAAACCAAACCCCGGGAGAAACCAACAAAAAGGGTCCACAAAAACTCAGGGTGTAGCCAACCACTGAAACGTCGAGCAGCTCAAAATTGCCCAGGTTGCCGCAGGGCCAGCCAAATCAGGGCGATGGTTAGCGCATGGGCCCTCGCTGGAGGCAAGATGGGACAAACTGGGAAGCCAAAATTCAGGAATCGTTGAGAGGACGTCAGGAAAAACAAAAGCCACGCGAGAGATGACGTCCGGTTGGCTACGGTCATCATAGTCCAAGCAGCAAAACAACCAAAAATGAAATTATCGAAGAAATCCGAACCGTTCAAAAACCAGATCCTTTCCCTTCCAATGTAAAGCCTTAAAATACAGAGCATATCTAATAGTAACTGGAGGAGGCTGTGCAGAAACTTGATAAAGTTTCAAATTTCAACAACTTGTGTTGATACTTTCCTTCATCTCGTGAAACGGGATCCTTGCCTAAAAATGATCTCATGATTGGTTGAGGCAAGGAGAAGGAGCTTGTTATGGAGTGGCTGAGGAATCCATCAAATCACGAACATCAAGCTCTTGTTAATGGAACTGATTTGTACAGAAACATTTCTCTTCTATCTATAGTAGGCCATGGTGGTATGGGGAAGACAACTCTCTTGCAACATGTTTATAAAGATGAAATTACAAAGGAATTTGATCTTAAAATGTGGGTTTGTGTTTCCAACAATTTTGATGTGAAGAAAGTCATTGTAGATATATTGCAATCTCTTAAGATGGAGAGGCCTTGTTGTGACACACTTGATGCACTTCAAAATAGTCTTCGGACTGAGATTATGTCCCAAAAGTTCTTACTTGTGCTGGATGATAATTGGGAGGATGAGGAAAAGGATAAAAGCAAATGGGAGGATGTGCTCGCCCCTCTAGCTTCTGGGGGTTTTGGTAGTAAGATTTTGATAACAACTCAAACGGACTCAATTGCACTGATGTTTTGAAAGGTAATTAAAAAAAAGAAGGAAATAGTTAAATTAGAGGGCCTACAGAAAGATGAGTGTTTGTAGCTCCTTAACTCTCATGCATTTGCTCGTGTACAGAACCACCCTGATGATCATAAAAATTTAAGAGTCATTGCTCGAGATATAGTTAAAAAAGCTTTCAAGATCTCCTTTGGCAGCTAAGGTCATTGGTGGTGTTCTAAATTCTCTTGACTTGGATGAAAGGCGTTGGAGGGAAGTTCTAGAAAGCAATTTATTGGGTGGGAATTCAATCAATTCCATCTTAAGACTGAGAGCATCGCCTCCTTAAAAGAGCTGAGAAAGTGAGAATCATGGATAATGATGAGCTGGTTTCATTTCCAAATGAGGCGAGGCAGTGGTTTCTGAAAGTTAGGTTTTCTCTTTCTGAGCTGCAATTTGGGAAGCTGAAATCCTTACAGTCTCTCCCTTCCTCCTTGGAAAGCTTATCTTCACTTCAGAAACTATCTATTGGTCATGCTTCTATGCTTCGGGAATTACCAAACCTTCCTCCCTCTTTGGAACGTCTAACAATTTGGGGATTTCATCCAGAGTTAACGGAGTACATGGAACTTGAAAAACAGCTGACCAAAAACAAGAGAAGGATGCTTAGGGTTTGCCCCCTTGGTCGACCACCGGTGCCACGATGCTTGATAAGTTTTCTTCTCCCCTCCTAAACAGAAAATTTATTTTTTCTGTTCAATTTAATTTGGTCGTTCATATCCATTGAAAACTGTCACATGAGACTCCAACTACTGTGAATATGTATAACTTACAGAAATGATACTCACAGCCTGAAGTAAAAGAACCATTCCAAGAATAAACAAAAACACTTTCCCTCATAAACACAGCTCATAAAATCAATCTATTTTGAGTGTAGAACTAAGAGAGATATGAGCGAGTGTGAGAAAAGTACAATTTCTCCCAATTTTTACATTGAATTTCTTAGTGTAGTGTGGTTTAGTATTTTTTCACGTCAAATCTTGATATTCCTTTCCGCTATTTTCCTCTCTTGTTTATTTTATTGTGTGATTTTCTTCCCAACAATAATAACACAAGAGGCAACACCCATCTGCCAAACACAGATTTCCAGCTCGATATACCCACCGAATGCCAGCAATACAGAAAAGGATATTAGGTTTCTCCGAGCATAAACTGTACTGTACGCAATTCATAAGTAAAAATGAGTTGCTGTATCTAACAATATGAACAAGAAAAATTTTGTTTGAGGAAAGATATCACAAAACACTGAAAGTTGCAAATGAACGTGACCAAATCTAGGAATGCCAAATGAATTACCCTTATGTTTGACACAAAATGGCATGGCAAACTCAAGTAATGAAAACAATAAAGCAGTTGATGGGACCTTCAGAAGCCACATAATTCCTACTCAAAATTTCTTTGCAGCACTAAAATCAGGAAATGAAAAGGCTTAAGGAGCTCAACAAATTAAATGCCCTTAACAATTATAGTTTCCAATGGATGTCAAATCTAGCCAATATCCTATCATAATGGAAAAGTTCATGAATATAATTCAACACAACCAAATTAAAGGTAAGAATAAAGAAGCTAATTAAGCATGTTGATCTTGTGCAATGAGAAGCTGTGTAAGAATAGGCTGAAATGAATGCAACAAAAATAAAACTCCCTTCCTCGTTTTTCATAATGGTTTCTTCATAAACAGTTTGCCAACCCATAGGAGGTTGATCCCTCGAATGCCCATTCGAGCTTCCTATTTGTTGGTAGTAACAACCTGTAGAAAATGATAAACTAAGAGTAAGGTTAACATTACAACCTCAAACACGAACAAGTCCAAGGACAAGTTGAGCTAATTTATCAGACTGTTGGCAGGGATTGTTCCCTACATGCTCAATAACTGAATAATAGCCAACTCCAAACCGGTAAAGCTTGCAGTAATATTCCAATAGTAACCAAACTCCTAAATATACATCAAAGATAAACTGCACTACAGCTTATCTAACTGATTATGATAGCAACTCTTCTATATATTAATGCTATACAATTTATTTAATTTACATTTTTACACAAAAAACTATCATTGAACTTGTAAACCTATATAACTAACAAGAAGATGCTAAAGAACTTAGACAACCAATGTACAATCAAAAAGTTTGCCCCAACAATAATTTGCTTAAATGATAAAAAAATTTATCCGTAAACAAACAGGCCTTATTTTTTTTTCTGTTGTGGCAATCACTTCAGTTAACCAATGTATAAATAACATCATTCTAAACCAGCAATATCCCGAGACTAACTTTTCCATCCTTCCAATACAATGGTGAATCCTACAACCACAATCATTTAGGATCTCTCAAGGCATCAATAGACTCATATAAATATAAGTTTAGGGTATAGGGATTTGAAGTTAGAATAAGATCTACTTCTAGGAGCGCATTTGTTTAAATCCAAGTGTGTCCTTCCAGCCTACTGTCTGGTTATTTCCGCTTAGCAACCTTCCCAGAGTAGTCGACTGAAATTTCTCAGCATTTACAGAGCCTTGGCATAGTAAACTATAATAAATGAAAAAAGATACATGCGAAAACATGAATTGCCATCATAATTGTTACGGGCTAGAATATACACGGCGATAGAGTTAGAAAATTTTTGTCCTAGCGGATATCCAGCACACAAACAAAATTGGGGAACTAAACATATAAATGAGCTCACCCATTAAGAATAAACCTTGAAAATGTGATAGATGCCATGAAAGTTTGTTGTGCCAAGTTATGTGGATAGAGGAACCTCATGGATTTGTCCTTAGAACAAGGGAACATTGTGTCGAGGAACTTCACAGATTTGTCCTTGGAAAGATCATCAAAACCAGCATTGAGTACCTGCAAGATCAAGTCAAATGGCAGACCGGCACGAAAATAGAAGCTACAAAGGCTGAGAGACATCCACCCCAAGATCCAAGCTGTTGCCTTTGCTTGCAGCCAAGCACCGATCAGCGACAGAAAACCAGCTCTCCAAGAATGGTTATGGCATCTCTTAAGAGGAAGATAATTTGCTCAATAAGTTTGAGTACATGAAGCATATAAAACAGTTGAAAAAACCCAAGAAGCAAACAAAGGAGCGTTCCATCATAACACGCTTGAAAAAAAAACTTGTTAAAACCGTCAAACGTGCTCTCCAAATTGTTCCCAACATGTCAGCTGATGTTGGTAATTTCCTTCACATTTTAGAAAATATAGAACAGGACACCAGCTTGAGTTGTACAGCACACGTGAAACAATACCCTCGCCTAAAAATGATCTGTTGGGCTGCCTAAAAATGAATTGAGATTTTATCTAATTAGCTCCTAAAATGTCTGGAACTACTTTGTACATGAACAGGGGCGGATCCACTATAAGCACGGGGAATCTCCCAAATTAGTCTATATAACAAGGGTTTTTAGGCAATTGCCCCTCCTAAAAGTTTTAAAATACTATAGTCTTTAGGAAATTGCCCCAACATAATTAAACACATTATGTAGAGATGTTATTGTTAAGGAATGATGAACCAAATACAAAGTGAAATAGTAACGAAAATCCAAAAATATCATTGCAGGTCAAACCCCGCAAGCGCTGCCCCCTTACCCTCGACATATCTCTAATGCGTACAACGAATAAGGATATAAAAAAATAGAGGTCGAGGGGCAATGCCTCCAGCTCTTCAGGGTGGGATCTTTTGGAAAAATACAGTGTGGTATGAAGTGACATAAATGCTCTCGGAAATGATCAGGTCGTCGCCAAAGGCTATCAAGAATATGGCAAGAGAGCAAAGGCACTCTCCCCGGTTGCACACTGATCGTAAGGGGAGGGCAGAGAAGGGATCCAATGTGCCATCCAGGGGGAGAGCAACAAGCTTTCAAAATAATAATAATAATAATAATAACATCAATGCTAAGAGAGCATCATATAAACAAAAATGCAGCTCACCTCCATCTTCCATCCTTAATTCACCACCAGCCATAACCCCAAAATTAGAACCATACACTTCGAGCATCGCGTCCAATAAAATTAGAAGCAATATATCCAATAAGTTGAGAAGGGAGGGTTAGAACGCAGAGCTACATCCGGACTCGGCACCAAATAATTTCTCTAGGCTGAGAGAGGACAAGAAAAAAATCACTTTTGACCAGCTCACAAAAGAATCTGCAGCACAAGACTTGATCTTTCAGATACTCAAAGCCATGTTGAGATTAGTATAACAGACCATTATGAAAAATATCCTTTACATGTCGTTTAATACTCTAAATTAATCTTATAGATGAGTTGGCTCAACTGAGTTTAAAATTTCATCATAATTAAGTTGTTTTTTATTTGGCAAGTGCAAGCTCAAGCCTTCACCGTAACACCAAGCAAGTAAATAAAAATAATAATAATAAAAAGCTTTATTGAATATTTTTCTATTTTTGCTTGCAAGCTTCCCTATCTTCCAATTAATTGCAGACATTAAAGACCAAAGGATGTCACATGCAGAAAGACAGTTGTCTACCACTTAATATTCTTGCTTTTTCACAAAGCTCCAAAAGCACGTCAAAATTTGCATTCCGCAAGCATCATTAATTGGCATTAACCACAATTAAGTGGAGTGTTTGCTGTTTGAAAAATAAGAAGCTGAGAAGGGTGCGTTCCATCATGAAATCCATGAAGAAAAGACTTGTCAAAATTGGCAAACGTGCTCTCAAAATTGATCCCAGCTTGAAGCTACTGGAGGCTGTGCAGAAATTTTATAGAGTTTCAACAACTGGAGTTGATACTTTCCTTGATTAATTTATGTTCTCATTTCCCTTGTTGATAATGATGTGTTGCTAGCACATTTGGAATTTAAATCAAAGGATATTGGTGTGGATCAACGTGGTTGGTTAGCTACTGTGATTCATCAGCAAATTGGGATGTTGGGGAAGAAACGGATGTGCACGGGGATGATTCTTTGAGAATTTATGATTTAAATGTTATTTTAAATGTTGAGGAAAGTTTTTAAAAGAATGTTGGTAAATATAAAAGTAGAAGGAGAAAATCAATTAATCAATATTAAAATGAATAAATGGGCTTTAGGGTTGTAAATGATCCTAACATGAGTGAACTCATTGTTTGTTTGTGCTTGGCTCCTAAAATTTATTCATTAGAGTCTAGCTCATGTTCGAAATTATTTGTGAAAATCATGTTTCAATTAATTTGTTTAGCACAAACTCCACTTAATTGTGGTTAATGTCAATTAATGATGCTTGCGGACCGCAAATTTTGACATGCATTTGAAGCTTTGTGAAAAAGCAAGAATATTAAGTGGCAGACAACTATGTATTTCTGCATGTGAGGTCCTTTGAAGTTTAATGTCAACAATTTATTAGAAGATAGGGAAGCTTGCCAGCAAAAGCAGAAAAATATTCAATAAAGCTTTTATTATTATTATTATTTTTATTCACTTGTTGTTGTTGTTGTTGCTTGAGGTTACGGTGAAGGCTTGAGCTTCTGCTTGCCAAATAAAAAACAACTTAATTGTGAATAAATTTAAAACTCAGTTGAACCAACTCATCCAAAAAGATTAATTTAAATTATTAAACGTAAAAATGAGTTACCATATCTAACAATATGAACAAGAAAAATTTTGTTTGAGGGCAAATATCACAAAACACTGAAAGTTGAAAATGAATGTGACCAACTCTAGGAATGCCAAATGAATTACTCTTATGTTTGACACAAAATTGCATGGCAAACTCGAGTAATGAAAAAAATAAAGCAGTTCATGAGACCTTCAGAAGACAAATAATTCATACTCAAAATTTCTTTGCAGCACTAAAATCAGGAAATGAAAAGGCTCAAGGGATTCAACAAATTAAATGTCCTTAACAATTATAGTTTCCTATGCATGTCAAATCTAGTCAATATCCTATCATAATGGAAAAGTTCATGAATATAATTCAACACAACCAATTCTTTTACATATTAATGCTATACTATTTATTGAATTTACTTTTTTACACAAAAACTATCATTTAACTTGTAAACCTATATAATTAACAAGAAAATGCTAAATAACATAGACAACCAATGTACAGTCAAAAAGTTTCCCCCAATAATAATTTGCTTAAATGATAAAAAAATTATGGGTAAACAAACAGGCCTAATTTTTTTTCTGGTAGTGGAAATCACTTCAGTTAAACTTATGTATAAATAGCATCATTCTAAACTAGCTTTCTCCCTTTACTAACTTTTCCATCTTTCCAATACAATGGTGAATCCTACAACCACAATCATTTAGGATCCCTCAAGCCATCAGTAGCCTCACATCAATATAAGTTTAGGGTATAGGGATTTGAAGTTAGGAAAAGATCTACTTACAGGAACGCATTTGTTTAAATCCAAGAGTGTCCTTCCAGCCTACTGTCTGGTTATTTTCGCTCAGCAACCATCCTAGAGTAGTCGACTGAAAGAAGTTCTCAGCATTTACAGAGCCTTGGCTCAGTAAACTATAATAAATGACAAAAGATACATGTGAAAACATGAATTGCCATCATATATATATAGAAGTTGACAAGTATAACTGAAGACTCAAACACAGCTCACTTCGTCCTATTGGTTGAGAGTTTAGGCTTCCAACTAAGGGATCATGGGTTCGAGTCTTTGTGTATGCGTTGTGTGTGTGATTTTGCCTTAAATGGCCTTATTGTCCCAAAAAAAAGGGAAAAAAAAAACATAAGACTCAAACCAAAGTTTAAGAAAATAAAAGGTCATAAAAAAAACAGGGCTCAGAGTAAACATAAAGAGACAAATAAACTGGCATTAGAAGAAGGCAGTAGACCCATAGAATAGGGGATCTAGGTTGCCAAGATTCTTAAAGTAACTCCATCGCATGTACGTTTCACATCACAGTAGACCCATAGAATAGGGGATCTAGGTTGCCAAGAACACTTAAAACCACACTCGTCTTGACCTTTCATAAGCAGAGACAATGAAACAACCATAATAAAGATGCTTGTTGTCTACTCATAATTCAATACATTTCCACTATAGTGTTTGAGTGGATCCTGCTACTTCTTCTCAAATCATACTATTGTTTTTCTTTTCTTTCTGATTATTTGATCAAATCATTGAATCATTTATTTCTCTTGGCATATTTAGAAAAGCATAGCAGAAGAAAGGCCATCCTAGAGAACCCCTAGGGTCATATGACTCATAGTCCTCTCAAAAAATCAATCCATGAATAAGGAAGCAGCCATCAAATTCAAAAAGAGGCACAAGCAGCCAAAAGCCATCTCAGAAAAATTTCAACCGTATGAAGTAACCCACAAGGAGGATGAACCAAACCCAGCCACCAGAGAAAAACATAGAGGAAAAACTCACAAACACAAAAGACGCCCAACATTTATCAGAAACCAACATTGGAAACAAATAGCCAATAGAAGTTGTGTTGCTAGAATTGTACAAAAGAGGATAAGAAACTCACGACCTCCCCATTCTTGCAGCCATATGACAACGCATTATGCTTAAAATAGAAGAAGTAAAAGAGAAGAGATGGCCATATTTCCTGTCATTCAGTTCCCTCCATATATAACATACAAAAAAACATATAGAGAAGAGAAAAAATATGTCATTCAGTTCATCGGAAGGCTGCTGTTTTATATGACCAAACCATCTAAGGCGACTCTCTCTAATCTTATCTTCCACTAGAGTTACTCCAACCTTTTCACGTATATGCTCATTTCGTATCATGTCTATACGAGTAAAGCCACTCATCCACCTGAGCATCCTCATCTCTACAACACTTAAATTAATATTATGCTTCTCTTAATGGCCAACATTATCCACCATAAAACACTGCAAGCCTCACCACCACCTTATATTACTATGCCTAGATGAATGCCCAAATTTGCAAGAGTTTCCCTTCTTAAAAAGCACAACATAGGAGCAGCATCTTGAGTAGTATGAAACATGTGAAACACAATCCTTGCCTAAAAATTATCAGGTTGGTCGAGGCAAAGAGGAGATATTTATGTTGTGGTTGAGGAAGTCATCAAATGAATATCAAACTACTATGTAAATCAACATTTCTCTTCTACCTATAGTGGGCCATGGTGTTATGGAAACTACATCTCTCTTGCAACATGTCTATGAAGCCTTAATCATAAAGGAATTTAATCATAAAATGCTGCTTTGTGTTTCGATCAACTTTGATGTGAATAGAATCATTGAAGTTACGTTTGAATCTCTTAAAAAAAGAGGCTTCAATTGGAATTGCGCAGCGGCGGGCCTCAAGGCGAGTCTCATATTATATAATTTTAAACAATGGCGTAAAACTAACAATTTGCAATGTAAAATTTGGTAATAAATCATATGAACTTCTGAAATTTGCAAGAGTTTTACTCTTTTACTCCTAAGCTCAAGAAATTGGAGATAGATAACACTGCGTGGAAAGTTTTGAACAAGCAACAAGACATTAGCCACTGTTCCAGCATTTTAAAATCTATTCCGCCCAAACATTAGAGGTCATTTCCTATCCAAATCACATATCTTCTTTTGGTTGATGAAATAGTAAGACTTGAAACACTAAGAAACTTGAAATTTTGAGATAGCCCCCATCCGATATCTTTCAGAGAGCTACAAAAAAAGGAGAACACGGAGAATTTCCAGCTTATACTCAGTGAATTAGATATAAATGATCCATCTGTGCTGTTAATGGTGCCATTGAGCTAGGTTTTGCATCCCAATCACATGCATACCAGAAAACCTATCCCATGGCAATTTCCACAAATCGTTTCTTTATGGAGTTCATAATGGAACACACCCTTGTTTCCTCCACGTTTTAGGCCAGCTGCATCTTATGCTTCCTGTACTCAAGCTCATCGAGCACATCATCTACGTCATCAATGACATCTCGTAGCTTCCATAGCCATTCCTTGAGATGCCGGTTTTGTTCTCTGATATATGTCAGGCAGGAAACAACGGCGACAGCTTGGGTCTTGAGCTGGTTCCTCGCATCATTTCCAGCGCCTCCACCTTCATGCATGACAACCAGCAGCACGAAAAATATTAAAATACAGTGCAGTGTGAAAAAAAAGGGCATGAGACAAGGGAAAATGGGCTCTGAGCATGCCATCACAGAGGTAAGCCGAATGAAGCCGAAGCGCTCTACCTGGTTGCACACTGAAATGTGCCATCCAGAGGGAGAACGACAAGCTTCCACGAAAAAAAAAAATAATAATAACATTGCTCAGACAGCAGTAAAGAAGAAAAAGGGAGCAGGTCCAATCGCACATAGATAATCTCCCGAAAACCACAGAGGACTCATAGGTGAATACATGTTTGCCAATTAGCCACGGACGAGGACAAGCTTCCACTAAAGTAAACCCAATCCAATAGCAAACGGACCTTCAGGCTAGATTTGGGGCGGATTTGCGCTAAATCCAGTCAAGCGGCCAAAAAAATGCAAAACTATATCTCACGGTAAATCTAAGCCGCGGTGACGGAAAATTCCCTCTTTCAGAGCTAAATCCCGGATTTACGAAATCCTTCCTTCGGTTCGGCGGATTTAACACATTTCTGGCGCGAGGGAAAAGAAACCTGACCGAAGAAGCGCGTGAATGGGGAGAAATTTCGTTACCTTCAGGATCAACGACGGCGGAGGAAGCGAAGAAGCTTGGACTCTTTCAGAACCCTACTTCACGAGAAGCAGAACAGCAACGAATAAATGCAGAATAGGAAAAGCAAACCCTAGATAGTCAATCGCAATGGACTCGCTCGAAGCTCTACCCCGCGCGAACCAGCAAAGCCGAAGCGGGAACTTCATGCGAACGAACTGAAGAGCCAGCCCGCGGGATTAGATATATTCTTAATTTCTTAATTAAACATTAATTAATTTAATTAGCTTAATTAAAATAATTTAAAATATAAATATTTAATTAGGAGATTAATAATGTAAATATTAAATAAATAATAATGGAATATTTAATTAAATTATTATATAATTATAAGTTTTTTTAGCAGTTAAGTTTTATTAAAACAATTTATAAAAAATAATGAAATAATTAGTAAAAATAGTTATTAAATGATTAATTCTTTTAAATTCTAATTAGATCATTATCATTGTAATTAGCGTTAAAATACTTATAAAAATAACTTATTTGTAAAATACTTGTTAAAATAACACCTTAATTATAGTATTCATATAACTTATTGTTGTTAATTAAAATTAAAACTAATAAGTAAATTATATTTGAAACAAAAATATCATATTTGTTAAATGTTATAAATTTGAATAGCATTGTCAAACAGCCTTATAGGATTTGTCCATTTAACATATTTTTTACCAAACAATTTTTAGGATTTCACCATCTAAAAATTTAGTAAATTCGGATTTAGAGGATTTTCAAAATCCTACTTAAATAGCATCATGCATGCATCCAAGGGCCTATTTGAGGAGCAATTATTACGTCCTCCACCGGATGCAGAGAAACATCCGGTCGCAGGCAAAATCCCGCTATATCGAGGTGTACCGAGTTTTTTTTGCGACCGAATGTTTCTCTCATTCGGTCGACCGGACCAAATAAAACTTCCTATTTGAGAGGTTCAATACTTTAATTTTGTACATTCTGTTGATCATAGTCGATGCAGGATTTAGGCTAAATTTAGAAAATATTTGAGCTAAATCTTGCCAAACACCAAAAAACACGGTTAAATCTCATGGAAAGTCCACGCTCAACTTCACGGTGTTTTCGACATTTTAGCCCTAATCCAAGATTTCATAAAATCAGACATTTGGCGGATTTAGTCAAAGAAGCATGCGAAAGGGGAGGAATATCGTTACATTCGCAATAAGTCCAGCCACGACTTCTAATATGATAGCAACAACATCGTTGTTGGAGGCGGACAAGCTTCATGTGAAGCAAGACAACAAAATTGTTGTAGCCTAAAGAAGCTAAAATCGACACTTTCGGTACTTACATGACATAGAATATCGATGATTGTCGAGGTCATATGCTAGCAATGTAAATAATAAGATAACGTGTGGGAGGGGCGAATTTACGTTGGGGCATGGGCCTCCATTGGATGCTTAATTACCGCCTAATTAACAACTAATTGATAATGCAAAATTATAACTTTAGGTTAAATGATTTTATATTTACTTATATTGAAAAGATATATCTTTAATAAATATTGATAAAGAAATGATTGTATGGCAACTTTAAAATATAAAAAATTGGAGGGAGAAACTATAATTAATATGTAAGAAGAATATCAAAAACTAAGGATCTCAATTATAAATTTTTTATCATATATTATATCTTTTTATATTGATGATAAAAAGATTTTAAACATCAATGTCAGTCTCAAGCTCTAATGAGAAAGATTTAAAATTTTTTTTAATTCATTTAATCTTACTCCAATATAAAAAAAAAAAAATCCAAGCTCCAGAAATATTTACCGTTGCAATCAAGGATACTTAATAAAGATTGTGTATCTTTGTTGGGATAGAATTATCATATAATATTAATAAATTATGCATAAAATTTAAAATAGATAAATTTGAGATAAATATAAATTTATTTGAATTTTTTCGTGAGTAAACTTGACATTTTATTTTGATATTTTAAAATTTCTTTAAAAAAAAATATAATATAAAATGAAAGAGAAGACAATTAGAATAAATACATGAATTTCTCAGTTAATAAGTTGCTCTCTATTCTTTCTCCCCATTATGGATCTAACCTTTACCTTTTCTTCTATATAGTGCATCTCTTTTTGAGATCAGTGTTGCAATATTTTTTATTGTAGGCTGAAAAAGCTAATAATAATAATAAAAAAAGAAAATAGTTTAACTCATCAAAGCCTAAATAACTAAGAAGAAAATGTTAAAGAACTTAATCGACCAATGTACAATAAAAAAGCATCCATCACCAATAATTTGCTTACATGAGAAACAATATGATCAATTACTAAATTTTCTGGTAGAAACTCAGAAGAATTTTTTTTTTTTTTTTTTTTACTAAATAACTAAGAAGAAAATGTTAAAGAACTTAATCGACCAATGATGTACAATAAAAAAGCTTCCATCACCAATAATTTGCTTACATGAGAAACAAATCATCAATTACTAAAATTTTCTGGTAGAGACAATTGCTTATAGTTAACCTATCTATAAATAGCCGTAAGCTTCGTTTGGAACGTAAGCTTCGTTTGGGACGTCTTTTTTACTGCTGCTTAAAATAGTATTCTAATACAAAAATTAAAAATTTTGTACTAAAAAGATGCTTTAAGAAGCAATAAAAAAACCGTCTCAAACGAGCTATTATTTATGAACTGCCATTCTCCCATGGCTACCTTTTCCCATCCAAAATAATGGCGAATCCTACAACCAAACGCATTTAAGATCCCTCAAGGCATCAATATGAAGATATAAGACCTACTTCCAGAAAGGCATTTGTCTAAATCCAAGTGGAAAACGTCCTTCCAGACTACTTTCTGGTTCTTTCCTTTTAAGAACTTTCCCCAAACTAGAAAGCTGAAAAGAATTTCTCAGTTTTTCTTCTGGTTTACCATTGTGTATGAGCAGATGGTTGAAATTTGCATCCACATTTCTTCTTCCGGTCTCACATGGCGCCAGCCGAGTTACAGTAGGAAAGAATCCACTTAATCCCACAGGAGCTCCAGGCACATCCATAACAACTGGTACTTGCCTTTTAATGTTGCTCATTCCAGTCACCTGAGGTATCAGAGCGGCACCTCTGGAATCAACCATGTATGGTATGCTTCCTGGTTTGCAGAGAAAAGTTGGCGGCACGGCGATCGCAGCTCCGGCCTGTAAGATATTGCATCCATAAGCAGGACTGATCGGAGGTTTGGCAGCTCCATTGTTGAGGAAAGGTTCCTGTTGTGCTTGACCCTTGCAAAGCTTTCTATCTACAGGAAAATGCTTAGAAGTTGATTTGCCATGGAAAGATGATGCATCTCCATCGAAGAGGATGGTTGGATTGTCATTCAAGTTGAAATCCCTCGTGTAATGTTGTTTTGAGCAAGAAGAGGAAGCAGCAGAGAAGCTGTGATCCACATCATGAAGCTGGAGTCCGTAGTTCAGTGAGAATTTAACTGCTTCATCCTCATCCCCAATGCGGTTAAGATCTAATTTCAGCTTCTCCACATTTCTTGAGCTAACTTTTATGGCAGATTCCCTTGGAGGATGGCTTGAGGAGACAGGAATTTGTCTTAACAATGCTGTATCAACAATGCCATTCACATTCAAATCAATTTCAAGAAAGTTCAGCTTTTGCTTTGGGCCAGGCAACTTCACAATCCTTGGTGTTTTTCGAGGAGATATGGGCTGAAATGCACTGGTGGAAGAATAGCCCTTCCATCCTGATTCAGTTCCAAATTGAATTGACAAAACTGGCAATCTCGGAACTCCTTTTGAAGCAAACACAACTATAGGCGTTGAAAGTTTGGCCGTGCCAGTAGAAATGGGACTGGCTGAGCACTCTATTTCCCCTTTGTAGATGTCCTCATTCAGATCAAATCTGTACTGGCTATTCTCTACATTCAAATCCTGTTCTTTAGCAGCTGGCATCATTCTTGGTGATTCTGAAACTTCCTTTTGTGCCATTTGATCATCAATAAAGCCTTCTGAAAGTTGCAACTCACTCTTCCGGCTGAATACATATTTGGAAGAGTGTTCACTGGGTAAAAAATTTCCAGGATCAATTCCTGGTTTATACTTAATGCCATCAGCCAAATCAGGACTTTGGGCACCAGTTGCTTCTCCACAAGAGTCATCAGGGGAGTTGCTAAAATGTTCTTTATATCCAATAACTTCAAGTTCCACATCTATGGCAACTTGCCTAGCAACCTCCAATGCATCCATCTCTTCATCCTCAAGGCCCAATAGATGAGAATCAACAGGGTTTGGTGACTCGGCGGGCAAGCTTGCCTTTAGGTTCACATGAACAGCAATCTCTTGACTGTCACTACTTGTTTCGTCGGAGGTTTTGAAAGATTCTGAGATCTGACATTGAGGGCTTTTTTCTTGGTATTCCACATTCATCAAACCAGACAATTCACCCTCTCTATCAACCAAGCCCTCCTCTAGAGGCATGGAAGTAGATAGTGTAGAAGATGATGAATGATCAAAAGTTCCTTTTTGAAGGGAGGTACATTTGTAACCTTCCATCATGTTTGTTTCCTTCTCTATCTCGAGAGAACCAACTTGGACATCACCAGCTGCAGAATCCTGTATATTATCATCCCATTGGAAGGCTGTGTGAAAACTGTAAGTTCTTTCATGATCCGATTCTACTGCAAGGCATGACACAGTAAAAAACTTTTCTTGACAAGAATCGAGCACAAGAGATGAGCCTGATGAATTACAATCCCTTACTTCATCAACACAAGTAGAATTTGAAGAACTTGCAGTTAAGGCCAGATTTGATTTTATGAATTTTGTGTTATTTTCCACATGGGTGCTATCAGAGCATCGGGTAAGGTACGAATGATGGGATTTAGTACCTACAGACACTTCTGCTGCTCTTTCACTGGACTCTTTCTGTAAAGAGTCTTTTTGCTTTTGCATCGCAGAAACTAGTTCTTCAACTCCAGCAAATGAAGGAATCCCGCCTTTCATCTCAGTAAAAATAGGAAAATCTTCTAGTTTCATTCTGTTTTACGCAATATATAGGCAACAATAGGCATTCAAACGAGTGTCACACGCTAAGGATAATATCATTATAAATTCAGGAGTGAATAATAAAGAACTCTTGAATTCTTGAATCACAAATCCTGTCAAAATTTTCCTGAAACCAGAACAATGAATATTTTGTCAGATTGAAATTCTACACTGTAAAATAGTAAAAATGTGTTGAAAAAAATTGAGAACATGAATGGCTCTTTTTAGTTTACTGATTATAAGATCCCGTAAGTTTTTTTCCAATTGATTACATTTCATCTATCTTTTGGTCAGAACATCTTGTTTTCTGTAGAATATAATTAAGCATATAAATTTTCCTTTAACTAAACAGATCAAAATAATCATTGTGACCAATTTAAAGTTCTTAAAGGGATAAAATTACACTGTTATAACTCATTCTCAAACCCAAACCTGCTTAAGAAAGATAAGAATGAAAATAATAAATTTATACGAATACTCAGCAAAAAATAAAACCACAGTACTCAACTCTATATACTAAGAAACCTCAAGTGGTAAAATAACTCAATTCTAAGCTAGTATTTACAAAGCATTTTGCCAAAAGAATTTATCATCTTGCCCAATCTTGGATCAAGCACAGCAAAAAATAAAATCCATCCTACTTAAAACACTAAGAATCGCGCATCAGCGGATTCAAAGTTCGTAATCCCAAAGTATCTTCTACAGGCCCACCACAATCAATCAACAAAAACTCCGAAGAATTAGAATTTAACTAAATGCCATCTTGACAGAATACTCTCATTTCCCCTGCTGGATTCTAGGTACTAAAATCCAACTCTAGCACAGGAAAACAGTCCAAAAAATTACTGAACATTACAACTACAATCCCTCCGCCTACCAATCCGCACAAATACATCAAATCCAGGCCATTCTTATCACAAGAAACATCAAACTCCTAAAACAATAACAATAAGAAGAAGAAGAAGGCCAGATCATACCTGATACTTCTCTTAGGCAAAAAAGACACCAACCATTTCAGAAATCGCCACTCCCCAAAACCAGATTCCCAGCCAAAGTACTCGAGAAATCTCAAACCGATAAAAAAGTTCTGAAAAATAGATCGACAGCTGTAGCTATCAGAAGAGAATATAAACGAGGTTGGCTTTCCGTCGCCTTCCGAGAGAGAGAGAGAGAGAGAGTAGTGTCTGTATTCTCCGCACCAGCTCTCTCTGGTCACTTCTTCCCCCGTCCCCTAACTCCCGCAGGAAGTACCGGATGGTCCGGTGGAGTGCCGGTTGCGGCCGGTGGCGGTGGGACCCGATGGGGAATGCGCAGACTGTCATAAATCAGCAACTGAGGCATTTACGGTAAGAAGCACGGATGTGGCAGGGATTCAGACGAAGCAGAAATTGACGTGTGGCATACTTTTGGGGTGGTGGGACCGGCCGGTCCACGCAACGAGTCACATCGGCTGTTGCATTGTCGAAAAGTGCGGGGGCGTGGAGCGCATCGATGGGTGGACCGTCAATTCGTGCGCCGTCGTCGTGTCCTTTTCTCTCTCTCTCTCTCTTCCGCGAACAATAAATTCGCGGCCGTACTGCCGCGCTTTAAAGGTTTTCTGAGGGGTAACGCAACACTAATGAGGGATGTGATTAGCGTGGCTACAGCTGCCAATTAAAATAAATTTAAATTAATTATTAAATTTTAACATTTAATTTATTATGAATATTGCAAATTTTTAATAAAATTATATACTAATTATTTTTTATATATTTTTGAAAAATATCAATAACATATTCATTAGTATCAATTTAGATTGTGAACCTTATGCCTCACCTCACCTCATGGATAAAAAATGCCTCAATAACTAATTGCAAAATTTTAAACCTTATGAGTTATATCAAATTTTGACATTTATTATCCCTCTATTAGGAACAATTATTACATCATCTGATCGGACTTAGAGCTACGTTCGGCCGCCAATAACATATCGCCACATGCTCTTACTCTCTACCGCGCGGCCCGATGACTTAACCCGGACCGAAACCCGGGAATGCTATGTTCGCGTATTGCGAGTTATTACTCGGTATTTGCTCGGTATTGCATGACAATAACAAGAAATACCACTCAGTGAAGACCAATACCGAGCAAATGCCGAGTTGTACCGAGTTGTATCGAGTTTTTCTAGAAAAACTAGGTACAACTCGATATTACTCGGTATTTGCTCGGTATTTATTATTGCCAAGCAAAATCGATCAATACCTAGCAATACCTAGCAAAATCGAGAAATATCGAGCCATCCTGGGACCGTTCCGGGTCGGTTTGTCGAGGCCCGCGGTAAATAGTGAGAACGAACTGGCGGCCGAACGTAGAGCTACGTCCTGTGACCTGACCAAATAAAAGTTCCTCTATTAGACATAAAATTGAAGTTTAATATAGAATGAAGTACTCTTTTTTGACCATGAAACGATAGAGAAAGACCAGAGCTTCATCTCCGAGATTAAAAATCTTGAGTGTCACTCACAACTTCATATGTATAGTGATTTAGCACTCTTAAATGAAAAGAAAACGAGCATTTACGAGGATACAAACCATTTATTAATGATGGTATTTTATTAGAGCCTACGGATGGAGAATTATGCACTGTTTATATGAAAAAAGTGTTGAACCTCTTTTAGGAGATAGAACCATAACCCATAAAGAATGAATTGAAAGATGTGGATCTCTCCCACACATCCATCTATGAAAGACAACTCATTATGTTAATGAAGAAGCATTTAAGCATATAAGAGGACACACATTGTCCATTCACGATAATATTTTACTAGAGTTTGTCAAGAAAGAGAATTACACATCACCTATATAAGATAACAAAAAGCCTCACTTAAGAGAGATTTGGAGCATATAATGCGAGGAGACATATTTTTCCCTCCACTGTGAGGGGATACTTATACTTGAAATGGGAGGATGAAAGTCATAAAAGTTGTAATTTAAAAGAAGTGAAAAAAAATCTTAAAAAATTCTAGGCAAATTTCAAATCAAAGCAAAAATAGGTTCAAAATTCTATGCATCCTAACTATGTTATCAGGATGCAAAGATTTGCCCTTAGTGACATTGACTTTGAACTTGGAGTTATAGAGTCCCGTTTAGAGACTTATAAGGGGGACTTGTAATTGCATTTTGTTAGAACAACTCTTAGTTTGTTTGGAATTTAGAGGTCCCCCTGTTGGGCTTAAATATGTTTCATAGGTTATCCTTGTTTGTTATGGAGTTTCTTAGGATGGTTAGGTTAATTAGGGATCTTCTATTATTTGATTTGTAAAGTCAATGGATTGCATAAGCTTCACTGAGCTCAAGTTCATCTAGCCATTGGATTGGACTTGATCTAAGAACTAAGAAACTTAATCCATGTGTTAGGTTGGTGTTACACAATGTTAAGGAGCCTGAGGACCCATATGCCATGGCTTAATTTGGAGAGATTGGCTTTAAATAAGGGCTTAAACTATTGACTTAGGGCTATGTTGGGATTAGTTTAGGTTTGGACCTCCCTTAGGAGAAATGAGGGTAAAATTGTCATTGCACTAATCATAGGTTATATTCATTGTGTGGATTGATTAATTTAAAGCTTAAACTAAGTTTTAGGACAATTTTGCCTAGGTATAAATTAATTCAAACTTAAGAATGGAAACTAACTAGGTATCCACTAATCCACCTTAAGATGGGTCAATGTATTGTATACTATCCACTACAACATTATTCTGAACTGATCTTTATCTAATCTGATAAGCATTGTGTTTCCATTTCTGCATTTTCTGCTTTGTGAATGTCTGTGTATTTCAAATGCATCGATTCTATCTTAGAGTGTATCCTAATGGTTCTCTGGGTGAAAAGTGCATGTTTAAATTTTCTCTTAAGAGCACTACGACACTCATCTCTCTATATTTTCTATTCACAAATTGCAAAAAAAAAAGTTTTTATCAAAATAATCCCCCCCCCCCAAGAGCGGAGAGAGAGAGAGAGAGATTCCTCCACTCCTTTCGTATAAGTTGATAAAAAAAATAATTATTGAAAAAATGGAGTTTTAAAAAAAATTACTTAAATAAACTGATAATTGTTTGGTTACATTATTTTTTGCATGCTATGCAAACCTAAAAGCAAATTTACTTTGTTTCATTGTGTTTTAAGCTTTAGTATTTTAATCATAAAAGACAAAATTACCCTCTTATTAACATTAAGTATATACGAGACGACTTTACCCAGACCACCAGCAAATCTAACATGGCAATGAACAATATGTGAATGCAAGATGGAAGTTCTGTCTCCAGGTGTTCAAGTTCTCTCTCCACCTGTTGAAGTTCTGCCTCCAAGTGATGAAGTTCTATCTCAAGTTGTTGAAGAATTGAAAATGTCAGAAATTTTGAATAAATTGGTATCTTACTTCTTAAAAAATTAGAACTTTTTTTATGTTAATTGTTTGTTCAAAAAGTTTATTGACAATTTCTAAGTTGATGAGAATAGTGTATTTATAAACCCGCACAGTGCTAATTTTGCAATAACATATAACATATTTTATGTTTTTTGTCTGTGCAGAAAGTGTTCAACAAAGAATTTTAGGATAAGCAAATTCTTAATTTTTTTAAGCTGTAGCAAAACATTTATATTATATTTACCAGAGCTGAGATAATAGTACCAAACAACAATAAACAATATACTTTGAATAAACTACAATTGTATTTTGAATATTACCACACATCATCTACTAATTTATATAACAAACATAATTGTTTCCTCCAATTCAATATATCTCAATGACACAAACATAAACGCTAACAAATATAACAAACAACTGAAATCAACATATTTCATTTCAAAGGTACTCTCGATGAATTTTCATATGTTCAACATCATATCTCATTTGCACAATTGAAATATATAAGGAAAATATAAGAGTCATGACGTCCTTCATCAGCAACAATACCACTTTAAAAAAAATTAACACAATTGTATGCTATTCAAATTTAACTAACATTATTAAGATAAATCTACTAACTACTAAAATTATATAATTGTATTGCAATATTAACTCTAAGATCTGTCATTTCAGTTGCATATTCATCATCAACCAAATACGCATCATTATTAATGCAAACATTTTGGTCACCTAATTACTCTGAATAACCACAATTTTTATCCATATCATATTTATCAAAATTTGAATCGACCTATGAGTTATGTCTTCGTATAAAATTATAGAATGACATTGTAGCTACAACTATAAGACGTTTCTTAAATGAGTAATTTGACATCTCTCTTAGAATTCACCATTTTTTTCCTAAACACCAAATGCAAACTCAATGATACTTTGTAATGAGGAATGTATCTTATTGAATATTTTCCTATGACCCCTTACAAGTTGACTGCCTCGTACGAAATTGGTAATGATATCTTGTATATGGGTAAGGCTTCATATATCCTCTTTGAAGAGGATAAGCTAAATCAACTAAGTAATATTTCCCTATTAACGAATTTACTAATTTCAATACATATGAGATTATATATTATAAAAAATAATATAAAATTCATGTATTTATAAATTTTACCTTTTGGAGGTGTAGGAAAATTAAATCTAGGATCTGTCACAACATGTTGAAAAATACAAGTATCATGAGCTGACCTTATCATCCTGGTGCGAAAAATGTGAATCAGATGTCAAAATCACAAATAACCATTGCATTTTGAGTTGTTTTATGATGTCGTCCTATAAACAAAATTTGATCTCCACAGGTATGCGTGCATCAACGTGAGTTTCATCAATTGTCTCGATACAATCTTTGAAATATGGCGTATACCTCATATCCCTACGAATGTGCACTGGAATATTATGAAAATTCATATCTTCTACTAAAATAATGTCCAATGAAAATAGAGTTAATGTTAAAGTCCTAAATAAAAATATCTACTAACTATTTTGTGGAATAATGGAATCTCTCAGCTGTTGCTCAAACATATTTATCACTATCTTATTGAAGATTCTATATGCATAGTCTGTTTTGCCTTTCTATTATGCTATTCTTATATTCTTTAACTTTGCTATTAAAAAATTATGTAGGTTCAGTCTAGCCTACTAGGTTGTGGTTTTCTCATGCCTGTTATTCATCATTTGTTTCAAATCAGGGTAAGAGTAGGCCAGAGAACTTAGTGAAGGTGTCTAATTACCCTTAACTAAGATTTGGATTGTTAGTCTAAGTCTAAATCAAAGCACCTTAAATGAGTCATAGTAAGTTGGAATTAGGTCTTATTGTGCTGGGACACTAAGACAAACTAAAAAGGGAATTCCAGCCTTTCCATTAAGGCAGAATACTTCAGGCTAAAATCAAACACCCGAAAATTACATATCACTAGTACTAACTTGGCCTACTTAAATTCACAAGTATCAAAACAAGGAAAGTCAAGTCATAGGGACCATATTCATAGGCTAAAATGTAAAATTCTAAGCTCGTAGTATTAAATATCACTAAGTAAATGATATTTGTGGTGTGCATCGGCCTTAAGGACAACATGAAAAAACTCAAAATAAGAAGATACCATTCAATAGATTTAGAGATCACATTAGCGCACCAAGTGAATTTATGAAAGATTTGAGCTACTACTAGCGATCAAGCATTGAACTAAAGCAGTACAAAAACTCCCAGAAGTAATGATAAGGAAGATTATGAGAGGTCAACAATAAGTGGATTGTATACAAGAAGTGAAAGCTGATTCAGTGGAGTCTGAGTGATAGCCACCTTATTATTCCAATATTTATTGAAATTAGAGAAAGAAAGGTATGGAAGTCCACTTACTCGGCAAAAAAAGTTGCAAGTGGGCTCTGATTCATCACCTTTAAGCAAACCTTTCTGCCTTCTGCCCTTCTGTAACTGGTAATTAAGAAGATAAAACAAATAAAACATCATCATTATACCATTTTAATTTCTTTCCCTTATAGCCCGAACTTAAAACTTTTGGTGGCCAAAAGCCCGTGTTTTAATATTTGTTTCCCTGTGGGTATTACACAGAGTCGTTTGCAACATGGCGAACAATATTACAGTATTGCATGTTTATATATATATACTGGAAATTATTTGAAGCCAATCAATTGTCAAATAAATCAATTTTTTACCGCGACGTGCAGACAAAGTCTACTTATTTTGTTAATTTAACTGCCAAAATATTCAAACATAATCAAAATATAAAATTTTTTATTAAGCAAATGCTAATCTGCAACAGTCAATTCATGTGTGTCTTGAACGTGGTCGGTCATTTTTAACAGAACACTAAAAGAAGCTTAATGATGTAATTAGATTAGGTTGAGCTACTTTTTCTGGGCTAAGATTATTATGTAAAGACAAGAATTACCAACTCCACTCTAAATCCTATCATTATTTATAATCACAGGAAGTAATGCAATTAGGGTGTGATTCAAGAAAATTACCCTATTCCACATGTACGCATTATTTTGACTTTGTGAACACCTTGATTCATTTGACAGTTCATAATTCTAAATAAAAATATGATAAGTTTATTTCACCAAGGTAGCAGAAATGCATCAACATAGTTGTATAGCAGATAAAGGCTTCATTTGGGACGGCTTTCTTATTGCTTCTTAAAACAACTTTTTAGTACAAAAATTAAAATTTTTGTACTAAAATGTTGCTTTAAAAAGCAGTAAAAAAGCTGTACCAAAAGAACCCAAAATCATGCACAATTTACTTGCAAAACATATCAAGAAATGAAGAAACACAAATAAATCATAAGCTCAGATAATTCCAGCACTAAAAATCTGCTCAATAAGTTTTGATGGAACTAATCCATTTGTTAAAATAGGCACCCTATGGTTCAATACTTGAGTGCTGGTGGAATTCTAAGGATTAAGGGATTAGAAGAAAAAAAAAATATATAAAGAAAGAATGACATGACATCAAGCCACTTCTCCAGATTGCAAATAAGTGCCCAATTCCGTTAAAAAGTGGAGCGAAGAAGAATTAAAAAACAACAGCTTGACCCATATCTATGATTCCCCCCACGCTCTCCACCATCTCCTATATTTATATATAGATGCTTGTGATATGTTCTACTTGTGTAAGACGTTCTTGGTATCAGATACTAAACTATGAACTTCTCTCTAAGGGCAAAGACAATGGAATTCAAGAGGAAAGTGCATACCGTCGCTGGGTTTAGAACCAGGAGGACACCTTCAATGCCTTCGACACCGCAACAGGTCGACCTTCATGATGCAGAAGATGAAGAATTCAACACGCGTTGCCTTTCCTCTTACTACAGCATCTTTGTGGCACGCCTTGCAATCATGGTACTCCAAATCAATCAAGAATGCCCATTTCTTTTTAAATCTGTAGTCAGAGCATGATTTATTATCTTTGAAATAAATTTCAGAGGATTTACCAGATAAACATCATAACATAAACACTGCAATGATTTTGGCAAAGAGAACATGATGTAACCAATCAAAACAAATTTCTGATTTTGGCACGCAGCATTGTGGAAGCGCATTTGTTTACTGAAATTTTCTGTACTGAAAACTAGATTTATAAACATAAATCGCAGCATAAGTGAGTTGTTTTGGTCGTTTGAGTTATCTGGGAAGAAAATACGATGTAAGCATCTTGAGATGTCTCATCACATTTTTATTTAAGATAGGTGACCTTCCTACAAATAATAAGCAAAAAAAAAAAAGCAATATGTCAGATGTATTTGATTTTAAGTTGAATTTCAACATAGAAAATAGTCTGGATGATGAACTTCTAGAATAACCATGAAATGCAAGCACGGATATCTCAAGTCATCCACGTCCTTAATTACATATGAAGCACAAAAACTGTCATGAAAACCAAATACAGCATAACATAAACATAAAAATATAACCTACAAAGCATAAACACAGATACGGGACATTAAAACGACATGACTCAGATACAGGGCCTAAAAATCATAAAAAAAAAGGATAATACAATATTGAAACGATATTTTCTTTTATAATTAATAATAAAAAATGTTTAACCAAAACATATAATGTCAATATTAAAATTATCTCAAAATAAAGTATAACAGCTTCTGAATCCCATAAAAATTAATACGAATATCAAGCCTTTATCGCACTATGTGGGGTCGGCTATATGAATTATTTTTTCCCCATTGTCTTTTTAAGGGTCAAATTCTTATTTAAATCTAATAAAAAAATATTATTTCGAATACTTTCTAACCAAATCTTTTTAGTTCTACCTCCACTTTTCTTAACATATGACATATCTAATGCATCTACTCTCCTAACCGGGTTATTAAAAGACCAATGTTTTATGTGACCAAACCATCTAAGGTGATTCTCTCTAATCTTATCTGCCATTGGAGCAACTTTAACCTATTCATGTATATACTCGTTTCGCATTCTGCCTCTCAGTATAAAGTCCACCTAACAATTTTTTTCTTTTCTTAACATAGTGTGCCATAAAGCATTGCAAATCTCACCATCATCTTATAGAATTTTAAGTTTGAGGGGTACTTTTTTATTACACAATAGGCCGGATGCATTCCTCCACTCCAACCATCCAACTTGAATTATATTAATAATATCACATCTATTTCACCATCGCTTTGCACAATAGACCCGAAATATCTGAAATGCGTTGATGTGATACAATCCATGCGAAAATGACTTGCTTAAGAAAGTTTGCACTTGTAAATTTTAGAGAGCAATGTTAAGCAAAAAACTTCTATTGATGTAAATGTTAACCCTCATGTTATACCCAAAAGAAACGAAAGAGAGAAGCAAAATGGAAATCCTACGTACATACCTTGTCCATGGGATCCTCGAATCCGGCCGGAAATCCCTCCAGAAATCCCGCAGAAATCCCGTAGCAGTCTGCGAACGGCGCCGAATCCATCATTTCTCCGAGAATCCTGCGACGAGTTCTCGATCGCTGCCCCATTCGCGGCTATAAAGTGAAGCCGAACCCACTGCTCATCTCCCATTCGCTACTCCTTCGACTCCTCTCCCACACGCAAGATCCAGCCGTCGCAGACTTCCGCCTCCCTCTCCCGATCGCAAACCCGATCAAGCTCCTCCCGATCTCACCAAGCCGAGAGAGAGAGCAGAGAAAGAGAGAGAGGGAGATAGAGAGAGTTCCACCTTACCTGAAGCCCAACGTCGAATCCTCCTTACCCGTCGGATCCCGAGCCTTGTCCGAACTCCTGGCCGACCGAATCCCAACCCGTCGCCACTTCCGATCCAACTTCACACGAGCTCCTCTCCGCTGCTCCCGATCCAATCTCCTTCCTCGACCGACCTCTCCCTTTGCCCTAACCCGACGCCAGCTCTGACTTCCTGGACGGATCGGAAGTTTCAACATTTGATCGGAAGCAAGAACGGGATCTCACTGCCTGTGAAGGTAACTTTCTACCTTCCAAGTGCTACTTCGACCAAATCCCGTCGATTTGCCGAACCAGAGAGAGTGGGAGGGAGAGATATTTGTTTTAAGTTTATTAATCAATTAATTTTAATTATAATTAAATTACTAATTATTTTTTATTATAATTAATTATTAATTATATAGATTATAATCAATTATAATTAAATATAGTTAATTATTATTAATTATATTTAACTATTAATTATTATTAATTATTATTGATTATAATTAGTCGTAACTAATTATAATTAATAGATTAATTATAATTAAACAGTTAATTATCATTAATTCTAATTAATTGTTTAATTATTTTTAATTATAATTTATTATAATTAAATAACATTAATTATAATTAAATATAATTAATGCTTTAGTTATAATTAAATAATTAATTACAAATGATTTGTGCTCGCCCTCTCCCGCCTCGATCTACGAGCCTCCACCACCGTCAAAACCCTACGAAGGTACGAAATCTCCTAAACTCAGATTCTCGCCCTCGAAGTTAGCGGCGGACCGGAAAACCGCCTATACACGCCTTTATTGCGCGTGGTGGGATGGGACCCCGGTCCGACGCCTATGACGAGGCGGGAATCGCCTAAACTCTACTTCGGTGTTCGTGGCGCACCGGAAAACCGCCTATACACGCCTTTATTGCGCGTGGTGGGAAGGGACCCCGGTGCGGCACCTAC